TGCTGGATTGCATCATACAGTTCAATCAGGCTGCTGTAGGCCTGTGAGAGGGGAGGGGCCAGGGCGACCCTCAGTTATCATCACTGATCCTCAACAACAGAAAACAGAGATTTTTGTTGTTTTTGTTTGCACTAACCCTGATTATTGTGGCACTGATGTATGGTTATGTAGAAAGTTGATGATATTTTGGCACAAGCGCTGACGCAGAGCTGAGATAAACTGAAACAAGCTGTCCTGGCTCGGTTCTGCGTTTCTGTGAGCTGTTTGTAAAACTGTTGGAGAGTCGCGGTGTAAACAAAGCCAGTCTGGAATGTCCAGAGATTATTAGCTCTAAGATTACATGTATCTCAATCCTCTTCTGAGATAAGCTTGATGACTTACGCGTTTTGGAAACATGTAGAGGACAGACTGGAGACGAGAGCTTCGCTGTCTGACTTTCACTCCACAAAAAAAATGGTTTTCTTTAAATTAAATTTTCATGCAAAATTGACAGTGAACATATTTATTAAACACTAAGGCACAAAGGGGGGCTTTTAACGTGATTTACAACCAATTTAGCCAATCCCTCTGCTTCACAGGCCCTAAACAGCAGCAGGCAGAGTGATCAATGCATCTGTGAGTGGATTAGGGAGGTTGGTGTCACACCCACATCCCTGGCAAGACAGATCCTTTAACATGGTTAAACATCAAATTGAACTTGAAAGAAGCTGAAAACAAGAGATGAGTAAGGTAACTTGTTTTAAATTGTTAACAAAGAAAATAAAAATAAAAACTGTGACCACGTTTGTAAAAATGTTGTATGAATGAACATAGTGAAGAATCTATGATACTAACTATACTAAAAATCAACTTGCACTCTAAACCACTATTGAGAAATGTGAAGAATAAATGCTGTACTACAAACTAAAGATGCAAGATTCAGCATTCAACCAAAGATAGAAAAAAAGAGCTTCTTTCTCTGTCAGGGCTGAACAATTTTGCACAACAGCTGCAAAGCTGAATTTCATGAAACTCGGTGGAGAGGCGTGGCATCGTCAAAGGAAAAAGCCA